GAGGGCAGTGATTTCACCCTGTGAGTCATTGCCCTGCTATGGCTCTGGCAGGTTCATACGTCGGGGCTGTAAAAGAATTAGGTGATTGCTGCAAATGCTCTACCTGTTGTTCAGCTCAAAAACCTGAACACAAGGTGTTTCTGCCCTGAGCCTGTGCATTTAGATCTAAAAATTAGCATTATTGACAGTGTGATGTCCCGCAACTTCTGCAGCTTCAATCAAATCCTTTGGAAAACTGACAGCTTACCCATGAGGTTTGTTATCAGCTGCATGATCCTTGCCAAGTGCTCCCTCCCCACATCAGTACCTTCCATTCATTATTCCTTATCAAACAGTTCTTCTATTCCTCCCTTCAGGATTAATAGCAGACACGGTGACCTCTAACTGCTTAAAATTCCCTCCCTCATTCTTTTATGCTCCCCCTGAGCACTTCTGGGATAGTTCTAATAATTCTTGGAAGAGAGAGAGCCCCAGACGCTGCTTTGATGCCAGCTACCATTGACTTCAAATGACTCGTGCCTGGGCGATGACATCTTTCCATAAAATCTGGCAAATCACTCACCTTTAAGAAAGGGCTTTGTAAGTCCTCCCTCCCTCCTCAAACCTTACTTCACCTCAGCTCACCACACCTAGGATTATAGGTTATAGTTTAGAGATTTGGTTTGAAATTCTGGAATTAATGATTTGCAGTTTCAGTTTACCATTGGAATCTACCCACAAACATGCAATGCCGTGGCAGGGAAAGCAGAGCTGCAGATCTGGAGAGCTACTTACAAACCAATCCATTTAAGTCAGCAAACAAGTTAATCCAGATTAGCTTTGTGCACATAAAGTGCATTAATGCTTCCGTGGCAAGCGAGGCCAACCAGAGCCAGGACACTGCCACAGAGTGAGGCTAATACGGATTACATGCTATGAAGGCACTGGATTTAGGAGGACAACTCATTTTGGATCAAGTGAAACAGCAGCACACTCTGAGGTAGCACACAGCAAGCAGCAGGATAAATTAAAGAGCACACAGAGCTTCCTGGTGCAATTTTGAGCCTTTTGGGGGGAATTTCTAGCTGGCATTACAACTCACCAGTTACAAAATGGCTAAGATTGAGGGGGAAATACATGCAAATCTGAAGTTATTAATAAGCACTTCACTAACACGGCTGCTTAAAAAATGTGGCGCCTTTTTTATCCTTTAGGAAGACAAGGAAATCTCTGAAGAGCACAATGTCTTCACCAGAACTTCCTACAGTGTCTCCTGGACTTGTCTTGGCAGGAGGCTGTGAATTGGCTGCTTTATAAATTATAACTTGAGAAGATGAAAATTTGATGCCTGCTTGCTCTTGGGAAGGCAGGGCTTGCACCATGTTTATTTTCCTTTAGAAAAATGGAATTTGCTCCCTGAAGAACTGGTCCCAGAGGGATCCCAGAGCGCCAAAGCTATGGGACTGGATTTTTGTCGTCTTTTTCGGCAGTGTGCTGAGGCACTTGATGCTATTGCACTACAAAGAAAAAGTTTTATTTAAGTATCTTCCCAAAAAAGATACTTTATTCAAGCATCTTTTCCGTTTCTGTTCTCTTCCAGAAACCTGGAAGCAGAGTAGGAATTACATTTACATTAAGCAGTATTAGTGACCAAATCGCTCACGTCTATCACCAAACACACCTGCAACACCTTTACTTTGAAGTGAGCACACTCAGCTTCTTCCCAACTTTCCTCACAGATGCAGACGATCTGTGCAAGCAGCCAGTGTGCATCCCTGTGCGCTGCAGTTACCTACACTGACTGGCTTCGATGGGAATGACTCCAGACCAGTGGCTAAGTGAAGGTTTCATTGAAGAGGACACAAAACTCTGGCTCAAATCTTGGGGGCAGTTCTGGGTCCCTCATAACAAGAAAGACATTGAGGGGTTGGAGTATGTCCAGAGATGGGAATGGAGATGGGGAGGGGTTTGGAAAACTTTTGAGGTGAGGCTGAGGGAGCTGGGGGTTTCAGTTTGGAGAAAAGGAGGCTCAGGGGAACCTTCTGCACTCTACAACTCCCTGACAGGAGGTGCAGCCAGGTGGGGGTTAGGCTCTGCTCCCAGGGAACAAGGGACAGGACAAAAGGAAACAGCCTCAAGGTGCACTAGGTGAAGTTTAGCTTAGACATCAAGAGGAATTTCCTCACTGAAAGGGGCATCAGGCATTGGAATGGCTGCCCGGGGCAGCGGTGGAGTCATCATTCTTGGAAGTGTTCAAAAAATGTGTGGATGTCGTACTTGGGGACATGGTTTAGTGGTGAACGTGACAAGTGTTGGTTAGTGGTTGAACTCCATGGTCTTGGAGGGCTTTTCCAACCTAAATGATTCAAAGAAGGGTTGCTGCAGAAATAACCCTGCACGTAAAACATGCACAACCAGAAAACCACAATCCCACCTCAGCTCCACCAACACTTCCTAGGACCAATGAGCCATTATCCACGACCAGCAGCTCCTGAATCCCTATTCTTGTGCAAAGTGCTTGTCTTGGCAGAGCTGTGTCACACTCCCTGGCTGGAGTTCCCATAGCCATGGGCATGTGTGGCACTGCCAGATCCTGAGGGATGCAGTGGGAACCCCTCAGATGCAGCTTCCCACCACCAATGAGGGCAGGTGGCTTTTCCCAGCAGGTACTCACTGTGTGAGAAGCGTTGTGTGATGGGGGTGCCGGGGTAGGGGTAAGTGCGACTCTCCCACTGAATATTTCCTTCTTGCACTGCCTTGATGAAGCCATGATAGCACTGATGGGCCACACCTGGGGAAAAAAAAACCATGTCAGTAAAATCTGGGGCACGGTAGGAACAAACTGTGCCTGCAGGGTTGTACAAGCAGCATGACAGCAATTGGAAAGAACCTCTGTATTTGGATTATAGGTATGTTGGAAATTTGGAGGATTAAAGAGAATAATGAACTTTGCAAATGTGGAAATCAGCAATGTTCACTGACCACTGGTTCACTACATCCCAGTCTCTGTCAGCTCCAGCTTGGGAAGACAAAGCCTCTGTGAAAGGAAGGAAGCACATGGGATGCTTTGCAGAGCTGGTTTTCAGCCTTCTCTGCTGCACCATGAGCTCCCTGTCCCCTCACAGCACCCCAAGGAGCAGCTCACCTTCCCTTAATGAACCTCAGAGGACAAATAATGTGGACTAATGAATTTTTAAGAGTGTGCGTGCATCAGGAATCCAAATGCACAGGTATCCAAAAGAAATAGGAGAGATCAGTGATAAAAATCAGATTCTGGCCAAGAACAGCTCCTCACGGAGCAGAGAGCTCCAGAGTTGAAATTAATTCTGTGTGAGAAACACATGTGAGGGGCCAGAGGCTGCTCCCTGCAAAGAGAAAAGGGTCTGGAGAAGGTTTGTGACAGCAGCAGCTCAACAGATGCTTGGTGGCACCTGCACTGAAGATGCCACAACCTGACAAGTTTTTCCCCAAGGATTTGCTTACTGAAAGCCCCGTGCAGGAACACCCCCAGTGAGAAATCCCACTCTGTGATATAAAGCAGGAAGGCTTTTAAAAAACATTATAAAGCCTGGGGTCCTCAAGGAGCTTGTCTCCAAGAATCACACCGGAGGCGGAATGAGAGCTATAGGACTTCACAGCAGATGCATCCCGGCAAACAGGAAAAATCAACCAGGAGAAAACAAATCAAGCATTTACCTCAAGTTACCTCTCAGCTCCATCGCACACAGGTGGCAATTACACTCCCTTTTTTGGCTATAAATGCCCCAAAATGGCACAGCTGCCCAGGACCACCCATCCCCTGAGACTAGAGACTCAGACCAATGCCATGGCTGCTCATCCCTCCCTTCCACTCCTGGAATGTTTCCCACAGTCTGTCAGATGTTTGTCCACTCCAGCTGCATCCTTTGCAGCACTTTAGGCAGCTCCAGGAACCAGCACAGCCAAGCAGCCACTCAAGGTCTGCTGCAATTGGAAAAGACCCTTAACAGGGATGTGGGCTGCTGCTGCCCGAAAACTATGCAAAAAGAGTCCTCCTGGAGCAGCTGGGGTTTTTTAACCTACAGCCAGTTAAACTCTGGGCAAGGTGGAAAATGCCTGGAATCTGAGCAATGCTTTCAGATGTGCAGAGAAGTCCACAAATTAGGCATCAGCCCACACAACTGCCAAAGGCATTCCTCACCTGACATCAGCCCTGTACTTTCAAGAAGTGCAGCAATGTGCCTCATTTCCTAAGGATTTAACTGTGGTCACCTCCTAAACTCCCTATTTTTCAAATGAAGCTTGTGATAAAAGTGTGTACCCAACAGAATCACACCAGAAATTATCCAATGTATTAAAATAAAATGAAGTAGAGAGTTTTGCTTGTATCCTCGTCCAAACTTTACCTACAGATTTGCTGTATCATACATATCCAGCATTAAAATATCTCCATAAGGCTTCGGAATTAATACTGGTGAAGGATGTCTATCTCAGGGCTACTCCTTCAGGAAGTCTGAATATGAAGACCTATATTAATGCAGATTTTATATTCCACTTATCTGCAGCAGAGCTGTAAGCATCAGACATAGGGTTGTTTCCCTTCCTAGGTTAATTACCTAGCAAGACGCAAACAAAGCACAATTAAAGCTACATTAGACTTGGGACAGCAGCAACAGGGGCTGCTGGGGAGGAAAGCTGGAATGCAAGGTCAAACAGTGCTGCACTGGGAGCATTCAAACGCAGCAAAGGGAGCTCCTCTGTCCTGGGGGTTTGAGAGTTTTGCTGCTTTCACAGCCTGGTTTGGGTTGGAAGGGATCAGACCTCAAAGCTTATCCAGTTCCAGCCCCTGCCATGGGAAGGGACACCTTCCACTAGCCCAGGTTGCTCCAAGCCCTATCCAACCTGGCCTTGAAAACCTCCAGGGATGGGGAATTCACAATCTCTTTGGGTTTTATACCCCAGAAGAGGCTGAGGGGCTCATTTCTGCGCTGTTACAGCAATTCCGTGAGCCCATGGTTTTGCTTGTATCCTCGTCCAAACTTTACCTGCAGATTTGCTGTATCATACATATCCGTAAGTGACCCCATGGCTGTTGCTATTTTTCTGGCATTTTACAGAAGTCAGATTTCAGAATTTGAACAGAAAACAAGAAGCAAAGCTAAAGCAAAGCAAAGAGCAGCTGGGACACAAATCCATGTTCCCACAATTAAAAAAAATGCATTCTCATTACTTGTACCTTTGATTAGTCGATACCACTGTTTGCAGACAAGGGCAGCAGTTTTGTGCTCTTGATAGGGTGAAAGGAAGGAGAGGATATATTCCAAAACCTCTTCTGGCAGCTCCAACATTGATCTGTTATGCCTGGTTTCCTCAACCTCCAGCTCAGCGTGTGGCTCATCGTCTTGCTCCATCATCCCTTCCACCACAGTGTCTTCTGGATCCACAGCCATGAAACCATCATCATCACTGTCCGAGGAGCTGGCCATGGCATTCCACTTCACAGCTTCAAAGGACAGGAAAAGGGACAACAGTAAGGTCACAAAGAGAATTAAGAGCATCAGGAATGTGTTTGCAAGGTGTGTGTTGCACCAAAGGTCTACCACAGCAAACTAGTGCCAGGAAATGCTAGAGGTAGGGCCAAGTGGACAGGTGGACTTGATCTTAAAAGCCTCTTCCAACCTTGATGATTCTATGAAACACTGAGCTAAGGACATGGGGTTTGTAAAGTCTAGGAACACACATTTCTCTGTTGGTATGTTCTCCCAGGTCATTTCACCTCTTGCCACCCCACTGCTGCCTACAGATGGTGTCAAAGACCCAAATCCTCTGGAGGAACGGAGCCTCTGGAGCCACTGCTCCCTCGCTGGGTAGCAGACAGCATCGTGCTGCCCTGCCTGGTTTGCAGCGTGGGGCCGGGCAGCAATGGGGACGGGGATCCCCACAGAGTCAGCACAACCCAAGGTGAGACAGGATCGAAGTGACAGATGAACAGTTCCTCCTCCCCTGCAAAGCCAGCTGTGCCAGCGAGCCTGCTCTACCCCAAACAACTTCTTGGGGGGTGAAAATCCCAATTCCATTCTCCCTTAGCACCCTCCTCTTCCTTTTTTTTGTTGTTAAATCCTTGCACACAGTTCTGGCTGGAAGGTGAGAAAAGAAAACCCCCCACAGGATTTACTGCTGATGGAAGTCCGGGATAGCAAAGATTGTATTTCCAGCTATTCAGAACATCTTAAGGATAAGGTAACGTGTCAATGACAGAAATATATCATTGAAATAAATCCATCTTAATGAGAGGCTGTGTCCTGGGCAGTTGGCATGGTGTGTGGTTAAATCCATGCCTGTTGCTGCAAAGCAAATCCCTGGACACTATTTCCTAGGAAGCAGCCAACTTGTTTTGGGGCGAGCAGCAACAGCCTTCCCTTCCAGGGTGGCTGGGTGAAGACCAAGGGATGTAACTGCTCCGTGACTGCACATGCAATGATAGCCCAAACCAAAATAACAGCTCCCAAGATTGACACAGGACTTTCTTTTCCAGAAATTCCCTTTTTATCCTTTCCTAGCACAAGGAAAGGACCCAAACCAGGGCAAGCTCTCAGCTCATGTGCTTCTCAGTATGAGTTTCTCCCAACTCTGTAAGGCAGTGGGTGCCCATCCGTCCCTAGGTCCCGGTTCAACTGGGATGATGGGATGCAGCTAACATAGTCAATGGGACAAATCCTGGGAATCAAACCCATTCCTCAAGAGGGAAGACAAGACACAGCTTTTTGCCCAACATACTTCAATACAACAATATAACATCTTGTGTTTACCAAACTCTTACTATCACAGAAAATACAGCTAGAAGGAATTTAAGTTATTTGGTGTCATGGTTTAATGTGGTTTATTTATCAGGATAAATATCCTGACTATAAATATCTTGACAAATATACCACATTAAATCATAAAATGTGGGTTATAAATCTGATTAATAAATGTGGCTTATTTATCAGAAATAATGTAAGTTACTGTTGCAAGTTTCCAAAGATGCAAACTCTACCGGCTTCCAGCTAAGTTCAAGGCTTTCCCACCCCGGCACACACTGAGCGGAAGAGACTTGGGAATAGCAGCCAGCAGAGCTGTGGAGAGGAAAAGCTTACCATGGAAACTAATTCATGCTCAGGAAAATGACATGCGATAGCATTAGTCTCCACTTTTGTCAGGTTCCCTGATGAAGCAGCTTTGGAAAATCCATGGAGCTGTCAATCTTTGGGAGAAAACATGCAAAATTCAGCTTGGAATTCTCATCCTAGCAGATGCTCCACACGTTCTCCTGTGTCAGAAATCCTTCTTAGAGTCAATGTTGTGACAGAGGAAGGCTGAAACCCAAACGCTGCGACACAAGTGCCGCTGCTGCCAGCAAACTGCGTTACACAGCAGAAAAAGCATAAATTCCAAAGGTTAAGGAGTGGAACGTGGCAGGGAGGAGGGGAGGGGAAAGCGGACCTGTGCTAAAAAATAATGAAAAAACAGACGGTTGGGTATTTTCCAAGCAAATGCATCCATGGTTGTGAAGGGCCCGTGCTGATTTCCATCCTGACATGGCATGGCAGGGAGCCAAGTGGCACTCCAGCCTTGGGATGCGGTTTTGCTCCAGCTGGGAAGATAGGAGGCAGAAGGGTCAGTCCCTACCTCACAGCTTGGGAAAACAGTCCAGCACAGCCTGCCAGAAGGCGTTTCACACCCTAAAAACGCACCAGAAATCTGACTAGGAGGGCATTTGCCTCCAGCTCAGGCACAGCAGGACATGTGGGGGACAGTGAGGAGCATCAGCCTCAGCTCACCACGTTCACACATAACATCTGGTGTGTTGGTAAGACCACATGTGTTTCCAACAGCTTTTATTTGTCCTTTAAATAATGTCCACAGTATTTAATGCTGGAAGGAGTCAGCTGAGGAGTGGAGGAACAAACGCCTGCTAGAAAGAGGGTTTTCTTCAATTATTAAATCCCAATTTTGATCGTCTGGAGTAAGCTTGGGAACAACACAACACGGCAAGTTGATCACAGGCACAAACCACATTGGAGGTTCAAAACACATCTTTGGGGCCAATTTAAATGAGGCAGGAGGAGCAGGAACACTTCTCAATGCCTTAATCAGCTCGTGCTTGTACAGATCTGCGGATGGAGAAGCTCCACTGAGCTTTCTGCTCTCACCAAACCACTTGATAATATTATAAATATTTAAAAGCCCCTACTTTGATAAATCCTTATTTTCTAAATGTTAGAGCATACGGAATAACCATCCTCCACGTGTCACACCTACGCAGGGTTATTTTTCTTAAGGAAAACAAGACTAGCAATAAACTCAGCTCCCAAAAAGCAACTTGGCATCAAAATAACCCTTCAAGCTTGACCTGCCACAGATGCAGATTTTTGTTTGGAACAGTAGGCTGGGAATAACCACCCCTGAATGGCAAAGCAAAGCTCTGTCCTATAACCCTGCTTTCTCCCTCATTCTGGCTCTCCAGGTGCTCTCTGCTTGCACCATGCTGGACTTGAGTTTGTACCTGGGCTAAAATAAATCTCTGAGCACTCAAGAAGCTGTAACAAAAAGATTTAAGGAGTCACATCTCATCCAAAAGTATACGCAGTCCAATTACTCCAGGATACATCCTGGAACCCCATTCTGCTCGAATCGATCGCTGCAAAGACCAACACGAGCCCCTCAAAACACCACTATATATTTTGCACTCTGTAGCTCTCCTGGAGCCAGACAAATGCCTTTATATTCCAGCAGTAGGAACAGTTTAGGGTGCTCAGGAATTAGCATAAAGCCTGACCGAGGAGGAATTGCAGCTGCTTAAAATAACCTGTAAGGAAATGCTAGAAGGGCACTGGGAACAGAGCTCTGCTGGCACTGAACAAATTTGCCTGCCCCTTCTTAAAAGCTGTGCCTCTGCCAGCTGGCAAAACATTTTATAATCCTTTTCCTCCTTTCAGAGCACTTCAATTTTCCCTCTCTACCCTCCTGAAATTAGTTAAGAACCTGCTATTTATTCTGCTAAAGTAATTATCTGGAATGAACACCTGAGGAATATTAAATGCAGGCAAAAATAACTCCATCAGGTTGAAGCACTTCTCAAAACCTGCTCCTGCAAACCTCCTCTTGACCCAAGCTTTTCCTACCTTCAGGCATGGGGTCCCATGGACCCCGAAATCTTCGGCATGGGTGGCATCAGCGGTTCCCATCCTGAACTGCTGCTCTTCTCCACATCTCTCAGCTGGTTTAAGAAGTGCTTCAACCCGCCGGGGTTTTGACCTGCCTTTTTTTGTTGTGTTTTTACAGTCAACAGATTTTATGGGAAAAAAGCCTCCAAGGGAAAGTTCTTGAATGAAAATCAGAGGCTGAGCAATAGTCCTGAGTCAGAGCGCATTACAGTGACTGAATGCTCATTTTCACATGCCACAAAAAGTCCTCTCTCCAAATATCATTGGAGGAGATGCGTTCTCACTTAAGAATAAACCACTCCAGGTGTGTGAAAGGATCCAGCCCTGGCTGGCCCAGGATTTGGGCTGGAAGGAGAAAGGGACTTAATTGCACTTGGCAATCAGGAGTTCTGGTGGCAATTTAGGGGTGGAAAACAGCAACTGCCTCTAACCCATTCCAGCCTCTTCCTCATACCTTGCCACTACTTATTCCGTGTGTCGGTAGCCCAGTCGGCATGGCAGGGTTGCAGTTAAGGGAAACATTTAGACCTTTTAAGCTTATTCTCTTCCCCAGTTTAAAAGAGAAAACCTATTCCATCAAACGGATGTGCCTCCTGCAGCTGTGCCATCAAGGCAGCTTTCCCCCTCCACCTCAGTTTTGTTGCTCTACAGGAGCCCTGAGACCATTTTGGGAGATAAGAGGAAAATCCAGCATAACTTCTAACACTACAGCACAGTATTTTATGAAAGCAACAGCACAGGGAGTGAAAAGTGTGTGGGAACCACAGGATTCAGGGTAGGGATAAATATCGTTAAATATGATTATGTTCCTGGTCCTCCAAAACTTGCGCCAGCTGGAGCTAATCCACTTGAAAATCAACTGCTGGGCAGGTCCAACAATGGGGAAAAAAGGCAAATTTTAGTCCAACAAAGAAAACAAAACTTCTTGGAAACTGACAATTGATGAGCAGTATCCTGGCTGTGCTGCCGGGAGCATCAAGCTCAGGTAAGCAAGCAAGACCTCGGGACACAGCACCACAGATTCTCCTCATCCTTGCAAACACCAATCACAAGTGCTTTGAAGCACAGCTTTTTCTTCCCCCCACCTTTCAGCAGAAAAAAAGTCCTAGTTTGTAGGAAAGTTAAGCGTATAGGAAAATAAAGGATTCCTAAATTCCATCCGCAAGGTTGGAAATTCCAATACACTTCTGTCTCAGCACAGCCTCTTTGTGTGTGTTTTGCCTGTTACAACAGTGTTTTTGGAGGGTCCAGAGACAAATTCAAAATGACAAGAATTCATT